TTTTTAATTTCGCGGAATATTTTCTCTGTTTAAAGAGGATTATATTAAACATTTGGTGGCGATTTGTGCTTGAATAAAAAAGTAGGGCGATTCTTTACGAAAAAAAAAAAAAAAATCGAAAACGTGGAATAAAGTGTTTGCGAAGCTTCGTTCGATAGATAATCGGGTTAGAAGATGTCAGGGTGCCACTTGCAGCGGAGTGGCGCTCGAGGCGAGTAGAAACGGCGAACAATGGACAAACTCGCGAGCCGCGATCATTCGCAACTCGTGAATTCTCAAAATTAATTTCCTCTGGAGTCCGCGCGATAACCTTTCGCATTTCACTCGGAATGTTTCGCGACGGGGTAGTTAATATTTAATTTTCTTCGGTTTCGAACGGTACGAAAGAGTCGCGATGAGTCGCGTTTCAGCCATCAACTACAACGCTACCAATTTCGATTTAGTTTCCGCGCGGGCTATCGGCAGGGCTGCGGCGACAGGCCGTCGTGGCTTTTAATTCAGCCAATTAACGTCCACCGCGCCTCTCGAAACAAGAAACGAAAGTTCGCGAGAGACTGGAGAACAGCCTCAGACGTAGAAGTAGAGCGTGAAGCATCGAAGGACGTCAATGTGGCATTTTCGCGTGTCGTTTCCTCGTTCGTGTTACGCCAGGGGCTCTCGTTCGAGTCGGCCACGTGTCGTTTCGCGTTCGACCGACCGAACGATCGCGTCCCCTGTTCGACGAAACCAGCCTTACTGTACAGTATAGTCACGTAGCGTGTCTCGATTATACGAAATCGAATCGGGGGACGATTCTTATGTAGCATTTTTATAACAGGATGACCTTTCGTGCAGAATTTCCGTGAATTCCAAGACACGATTCTGGAGGTATTGTATTTACGGTGAAAAAATGTCCTTGAAATTTCGAGAGATTTAACCTTGAATAAAAAAAACTGTATGTATTTATCTTGGAAAGGAGCCACTTGAGAAATATTCTTGGCAATATTAGCGATAACGAGGATATCGTAAAATGTTAAATGTCCCTCTATATGTGTTTCGTAAATAATTATATTTGTAACCTAGCAGAGTTGGTCAGTTTATGAATTATTGAAGTCGAGCTATTAGTGAATTATTTACCAACGTTTTGGTATTTGTCTATCGTTCGAAGTCGAAGGAAAACCGCGGTGTTCGTGAGCTGAGAAACTCCCTCTTCGCGGGACTCGGTCCCGAGCCACTCCAGAGGATTTCGTTGCGTCGTTAGGGAGGCATTCCGCCTGCGGAAACGGTGAGCTGCCGCCTCTGTCTCGGCCTCTTCCTCTTCCAGAGCTCTGGCCATTCAGACGTAAACAGAGGTTTGGCTCTCGGCGGTATTCGGGCACACAGAGACACGCTCGCGCTTTTTGTCGAACGAGCAGCTACGAAAGGTTACTCGAAGAGCTGAATAGACGCGCTCTGTACGCGAACCCGGCACCGAAATCCAGCCACTTTGACCCAGGCTGGCCACGGGCGATCGCGACCTGCTCGATCCCGCCTTGCCTTCGTTATCCGTAAAAATGACGAAATTATTTACAGCATCGATATTTCAAAATATATATTATAATTTTTATCTTGGCTTTAAGGGGCTTGGATCGTCAAAAAATTAAAAAAAAAAAAAAAAAAGAAATTACTCTTAAAATTAAAATTTAAGCGATTCGGAACAGTTCCGCGCAATCCGAATTTAATTTGAAGCACTGAAAGTGGTAAAAAAGAAACTTTTTGGATGAAAAAGTGATTCTTTTTCATTTTTTGACAATCCAAGCGTTTTTAGAAGCGAAGGAACTGCTATTGAAATTTTTATACGCTTCTCTATTTACGAGAATGTTACCGAATGGTTGGCAAGGCTTCGGTGACGAGGAACACGTTCGGATGGGAATTTTGTGTCCCACTGGTTACGTTTCCTCGTTCGATGCTTTCTTCTCGCACCTGTTATTCCGGGAACGTCGGCTGTTACGCGTCGGAGACGAATTGTTCCCCGCGTAATTGTATCTCATTACCGTTCCATTGGACGAGCACGTGGCTTGTAAATATTGGAAGAAACAATTAAATTACGTAAAGTATAGGAACCGACGCACAGCGTTGCGTAACCGCGCATCCAACCGTAATTGACGATTGTCCCCGCGTACGATCGGTTCCGAAAGAAAGGAAAACCGGCCCGATTTCCAAAGCGACGCGAAAATATTCTCTCGATCTCGCCGGTCCAGGTCTCGCCGGCTCGCGGTTTCCATTTTCCGTGGAAACGAATCCGACGACCTAGAAAAAAGAAAATATGGCGATAGCCGTGGTCCGACCTTAGACGCGAGAATTCCATGCAATTATGCACAGCTGAATGGATTCACGATCCCGCCGTTCTCGCTAACGAGAAACGGGGAGCGAGAGTCCGCGACGGGGTTCGAACTTGTAATTTTCAGCGCGAAATTGAACTTTCGCGAAAAAGTGTAATTACGACGCGTGCTTTCACGGTTTCTGGAAAGTCCGGCGCGGCTGGAGAACGTCTCAAGGTCGCGAGTACTCGCGCAGCGTCAATGAATATCGCATGAATGTTTGCTTGACTTAACGGGATGGTCCATGATTCGAGTGAAAGAGTTTTATTTACGAGGATGCGAACACGTGCGAATTGACTGCTACACCTAATGTACGAGAATGCCATTTATGGAACTTGTTCGTTCTTCGTGTTCGGTTAATTTTTCTTTCACGTTACTTTGTATCTGCGTTTGGTTAATATACCACTCTTCGTAATAATTTATAATTGTCTGGCATAATTGTCGGAGAAATGGCCAATTTCGGACTTTATACAAAATTCTTAGATGTATATATTGACGTTGTCAAAGACTCCAGTTTGGTAGAATATCGTTTATAGGACCGGATTCATGCGCAGGCTCGGATATAGGCACTTGTAGCTGAGAATAGTAGCCCATAGCATTCTATAGCTGAGACCTAGTACCCTCTAGCACCCTGTAGCTGAGACCTAGTACCCTCTAGCCCCCTGTAGCTGAGACCTAGCACTCAGTAGCTGAAACCTAGTACCCTCTAGCACTCTGTACCTGAGACCTAGTACCCTCTAGCCCCCTGTAGCTGAGACCTAGTACCCTTTACCACTCTATAGCTGATACCTAGCACCCTCTAACACTTAGTAGCTGAAACCTAGTACCCTCTAGCACTCTGTACCTGAGACCTAGTACCCTCTAGCCCCCTGTAGCTAAGACCTAGTACCCTTTACCACTCTATAGCTGAGACCTAGCACCTTCTAACACTCTTCAGCGGATACCTAGTACCTCCTAGTCCCCTGTAACTGAGACCTAGTACCCTCTAGCCCTCTTTTGCTAACCCTACTATCTCCTACCCTCCTGTAGCTGAACCTAGAACCCTCTGACCCCCTTCTATTACCTTTTCTTACCTTCTATTACCTTCTATCAACCACGATCGAGCTTGTACGGTCGCGGATTTCGTCAGACCCCGTTTCACTTCGAACAGCGTCAGATTAGGCACGGAATGAAACTGTTGCAAACGGATGCAAGCGTTCGCTCGGTTTGGGAAGCGACGAGACGGGGCGGTATGCGTGGTACGTCGTTATCCTTCGTTCGGTGGCAGGCGGTGTCGAGAGATCGATCCGACGACCGCGCCTTCGCAGAAGCAGCTTCTTCTCGCAAGGAGAGAAAGGTGCCTCGACCTCCTTTCGGACTGCTCTCCGTTCGCCGGTGATCCCCGTAGCCTCCGATAAACCCGAGAACGACGAAATTGGGCGCCACGTTCGCGAAACGAGGCGCTCTCGACGAGTCCATGAAAATCCACCGTGCAGGTTGCACGGAGAAAGTCATGCCCACTCCCCCACCGCCGACTCGTACGATTCCAACGACCGATCCAATTGCGAGTAACGACGTATCGCGGACGTTATCTCATTCTCCAATATTAAATGTTTCGGAAATTCTGTATTCTTAAATTATTTCGCTATACTTTCCGCACAGTCGGTCATTAGCGAGGAGTCCGATCGACGTTGCTTTCGTTTTAAATTAATATTTAATGAAATCTTGGCCCGCGCGCTCCAAGACGGCGTTCCGAAGGATAAATCGCCGACTCGCGCGCGAAAGTAATTGGTTTAATTAGTCGTGCTTTGCAGCACATTAAAATACAGGTTTGTATTACACTTTCATGACCATAAATGGGCGTACTTCAATTATTACCCGTGGCAGGAATATTTTAATGCGAGGAGTTCTATTAAGAACGATACCTTCTTTTGTAGCGGAATAAAATCGAGCAAAGTAATTTACTAAAACAATTCACCCTTGCTCTAATAAAAGCAGAAACAAACTTTCAGTTTCAACTTTACCCAGGAAGTATCATTTTCGCGGACACCTGATAAAAAAGAAAAGGCGCGGAATAAAAATGGCGCGTTGCCTGAGGGAGAATAACGAATCTCGCTCGCTCTGGTGTTTCGTCGACAGTGAAAGGGAATGCATGTACTTCTTTTCCATCGGTTCGGGCGATCGCCGGAGATCGGTATCTGGCTGGAAAGATTCGACGGTCCCTTTCGGTTCGAAAGCGGCGGCCACTGGTTTCGTTCTCGAGAAGTAGGCAGCGCGAGTTATGTAGATCGTGAAGCACATTGGAAACTCGTTAGAAATTAATACCTGACGCGCCTAACCGGGGATCGACGCGCCGCTGGGCGTTTTTCTCGCGAACCGCGACCGGTCGACCCCGTTTCGAGGCGATTTTCAAAAGCTGGTTATTCTCCCCAGCCTGCCGTCGCGTCTCGTTTCTCTTTTAGCGGGGCCTCGTCACAGCGGAACGACTTTTTGAAAAGCTACGACAACGATTAATTCGAGCAGCGAAACCGTAAATTTCACGGGATTTCTTGCTAGTTGAATGAATCTAGAGATGGGGCTTCGAGAGACGTATTTGCGTCTTTATTTAAGTGATTAAAGATGATACATAACCCCTTGTCACACTACTGAGAGTGATGCTACATTGATAAACTTATCACTTACCATTCAATTGGCTCCAAGAGGCATTGTGCGTACTTTCGAGGGCCACTTCTCACCCCTCTTGTGTTTTGCACTTTTCCGGAACCACACTTTTATCGAATACCTCCTCTTCTTTCCTTAAAGTTTCTTCTTTTTTTTTTCATTACACACCTTACGCCACAGACTTTTCGATATTTTATATTTGTTAGCCGACCACGAAAAACCGGGACCGGACAGCCGCTCCACTGTCCGCGCATCTTTCGAGAGGTATTCTTTCTTCTTTTTTATCTGGCAGCGACTCGCGAAGACAACGATACTCGCTGGACACTCGAATGATTTCACGGTTGCTGTTCCGTTTCCAGAAGCGACGAATACGGCGAAGAAAGCAGAAAAATCGCGACACGCGATCTTCCGCGATGAGAATCGCGTGCAAACGCTCCTCGTAATCGGAATTATGTCAGTAGTACGGCATCGTTTCGTACGTAAACTAAGCAAGATTCCTCCCGGAGGAAAGTCGGTGATTCATTGGATATAATAACCGACTGGATCGAGGTCCGCGTTGGTCGACGCCGTTGATCTTGATCCCTCGAGCAGATACATCGTTAATTGCTCGGGCAAGTCGCTAGTATCGGAGATCCTCGAAGTTCACTAATTGTGGCCAGTTTAGATTGCTAGAGACTCTGTGGTGAAATTGTTGGAGGCGTTAAAAATATATTTAGGTTGCACGATGTTTGTAGTCTAATTACGATGATCTATGGATGATGGGACAATTAACTTAATCTTACACCACTTGTTCCGATACTTTCATGTCACAGCTCATTCCTTGAAAAAAACGGTGGCGGACCGACCGGGATTCGAACCCGGGGCTTCTCAGTGTGGAAATCAGCTACGCTACGCACTGCTCCGTCGTCCATCTCTAGATGGATGATAAAGGAACCATACAAATGTCGACGATTTGTCCGACGTTATTTTAGAAAACCTGCAAATTACATCGAAGTTTATTAACCAGAAATAAGAAAGAATTCTCAATTTCTACAATTGAATTATAGTCCACCGAGACGCAATGGCGAAAGCGATTTATCGCAATCCCATAGCTGATTACAAGGTAAAATATAGGCAATCGGACATTTAAGTATCGCTTGGTTATTCGAATCGTTGAGTGGTATCCAACTTTGTAATGGACGAAGGGAGCGCTGATCACGATGGCGGTTTTTATTCTCGACGTAAACTCTTCGGTTAATTATCGTCATTTTCTCTTCGGCGTTGATCTGTGCCAACGGTGGCTGCAACGCTAACCTGATTTGATCCTAATTCGAACCTAACGAAAAGAAAGACTCTCTCGCTACATTAGAACAAAATAATATTAAATTACCCAGACCTACGTTAATAATGCCAACGATACAATTTCGCCAACTAAATAAAAGATGCCAAATTTCAACTGCAGCTCGGTCTAAAATATTTTCCAACGTCGGTTTCGAAAAATCGAGTGAAAGGTCCAACGTGGAATGCCAGATAGCGCTGGTATTTATTAGAAATCACCGGGCGCACGCCATGTTTCAGACGGTTCTCAGTTCGTTAGCTCCGGTCGCACTCCAGATATCCCACGGGCAGCACTTACACGGGAACGTCACGCAATACCAGTAATGATGATGATAATTCTTTCATTACCGAAGCGGCGGATCCATCCGGTCGTTTTCGAAATTGTTTCGAGGCACGAATCGCTCGCGTTTACAGGGACGATTAATCCTAATCACGTCGAGCGCGCGACACGAAACTGGCGAGCTTATGGAAGCGTTACGTTTGCCCGAATACCTCGACAAATTGGCAGTGATCTATTAACCCTTGCCTGATTATATGCCTGTATATATGTATCTATTAACAGCATTCAATATTTGCCCCATTAAAAACTAACTCAAGCCGGAATTACAAATTTTTAATTTTGCCCAATGGTTGCATTGTATTTAGTATGTTGTATTTATTAATTTAACAAAATTCTAAAGTCCAAATTAAATGATAGGTTTGATGTTTCCATATAAATTTTTCGTTATACAGGGTGTTCCCAAAATATTGGAGATCCTTGAAAGAGGTGGTTCAAGGGGTGGTTCGGGAAGGTGATTTGAAACAACTTTTTCCAGAATATTTTTAATTTGGAAAAATATCTGTCTACCTGTAAAATTCAAAGAATTACGATGTCTAACGATCGTGGGACATCGCTAGAAGTTGTAGAAGCGACCGAGGACGAGCTGGAATTTAATTCCAATCGAAAGAATTAATTGTAGCCGTAATAGGCTCTGTGCAACGACAGAGAATGTTTCCAGATGCTTGTGACGCACGACGTGTCCTGCACCGCTTACGTTTTCGTTACGAAGTCAGAAGGACGACTACATTCACTCGTTGACTATATCACAGTCTGCTGGGAACCTATTAGATAAGCACCTACACGAGCCAAACAATCGACACCTAGAAACTTCGAAAACGCGCGTTACGAGCTTCTACGAACGTAGCATAACTCGGAAACGTATAGATAACGACAGTTTGTCGAAAACCGACCATTCGTTTCTTCGTTTAAAAACTGCAAATAATCCAGTGGCCATCAATTCCTAATATTAAATAATGTATTCAATTTCTCAGTGAGATTATTATGGGTAGAAATCAACTCCGTCATTTATAACTCTATTAAAATACCAATCTTCCAAGTTCTCGATTTAATCTCCACGAAACCGTAGGTAATCTAAGTCTTAACCTGATGGTCATCTATATCTATACGTTCGAAGTCCATCCGCCAACAAATTTTGTTTATTATTCTTTTCCTAACAGATTACAAGTGTACTCGATAATTACAATAATCGCGAGAGTATAATAAGTAGGAGGTTATAAATGATTGCAACGGAAAGGCACAGAATTAATTTCTAATTTCACGAAAGACTAACTTTCAATTAACAGTTCCTACGATCCCGTAAGAAACTCGTCTACGCCTCTGGAAAATTACGAAAGGCTGTGTTTGGATAAATAATATCGAGTTTTCTGTGTTTTCGCGCGGCACTCCTGTCACGGCGGTTTGATCCCGCCTCGAAAACCACGAATTTCGCTAATAGCCGCGTCAATTGAATCGTGGATAAGTACTCGCCGAGAATATTTCCATTTCTTATGTATTTCGTGATAGCCAGTGACGAGATTGCGGTTAATTTTTTCAACCTCCTTTCCGTCGAACCGTGAAATCATCGTTTCGATCGCCGCCCGATCGAAAATACGCCTTTCAATCTTCCGTTAAGTCCTTTATTATCGGATTGCAATTCTGAAGGAGGCATACCCTAGATGAGGGGAATTATACCTCGAGATGAAATCGTCGCGCGATACACTCGAACACGTTCGCTGGGATATAGTACGCACGGGGTGAGAGAGCGGAAAGGCAATATCTTGGATTACCTCAATCCTCTCGTACTTGGAATCTAGACGCCATTTTTTATCAGATTACGCTGAAATTACCTTTAGGTTAAGCTTCAGGCCTGAGCAGTATCGACTACTCGAGCTACTGGTTTAAAAACATGAAAGGAGTTCGCTGCCTTTTTGCTAGGCGGCCCGATCTCTTGCGAGAAAGCGCAGTACGCACGCTGTAACTCTAGCGGCGAGGACAGGAACTGCCACCACACTGGTATCTACTAGCAACTCGAGATGCTTTCTCAGCATTCTATTGCCACGAATGCTAAGCTCAATCAGGCGACATTTACCTCGTCGACGATCATTTTATCGACAGTTCAAAGAAATTAATCCTAAGCAAACATGATTGTCGAAGAGTTAATCTACCAATTCTTACCTACCGCCACATCTCACATCCCAATTATCCCAGTTATCCCCATTAGAAAATCAAATTTCTCTAAAGTCTCGACTTGGAAACCTCCTCTTCGTCTTCCAGACCGTGCGGAGGTGCCTGTCATTGGCGATACCAATCTGCTTGATCCTGTCTGCCGAGTTCGGCGCGGTCCAGGCCGAACGATGGTCACGACAGGTCTCGAACAGCGAATGGATCCCCCTTCCGGACCCAAGATCCACCCAGACTCAGGTCGAGCAGAGCAACCCGGTCCCTGGGTTGCTGGCGAGCGGCACGGCCCAGTTGCCGCAAATTCCGCAGCTGTCCTTGCCACCCAGTCTTCAGCAACAGTACCAGGAACAGCTTCTGCAGCTGCAGAAGACGCAAGAGAGCATACAGAAACTGCTTCTGCTGCAGCAACAACTGAGAACTCAGCAGCAGCTTCTTCAGGTACGTACGTTTCACGGATTCCATGTGTATTCGACGAAATTGAATATGACGTTAACTACTTGTACGCTCGAGTCTCATTTACTCCAATTTACCCTCTGATAACTCTTCGGTACACTTGTAACTTTCAAGCAACGACTGACTTCCATCACTGGCACCTTGCCAATCTTCTGTAATTACTATTGTAGTCAAACGAAAGACACGAAACGTAGGGGACGGGATTGGTTGCGTAGGTAAAGCGGTCGACTGTGGATTCGAGAACCGTGGCTTCGAATCTCCGCGCACCTTGTTTATTTTTCGTTTAGACTTATCCACACTACCTCAGCAACCTCGCGTAAAATACTCACCAAAGTTCCTCTATAAACTACTTAAAAATTATCGTAGGCGTTCTCGAACACGAGTACTAGCATAATTACATCAACGATCGTTTCTTAACCTCCATTTCTTTCTCCAGTCTCAAGCATTCCTGCCGAGCGGCTTCAGCAACCCCGAGGAGGACAAGCATCAGCATCAAGGCGCGATAGGACACCAGCCAACGGGCCCTGACCTGGCTCAGGAGGACCTAGTACCCCCACTCCCTGCCACCGATGCCCTGCCTCCGGTATATCCGGCCCAGAATTTTCTCCCTCAGAGACCCAGGTCTCATCCGCCAGGAAAGCAGGAACCGGACGTCCAGAGTCCCCAGGCGTACGCGAACTTGCCCGGTCGGGACTTCAAGACCGGTCACTTGTTACAACAGAACGTTGGGGACATTGGAGAGATTGATCAGGCTCAGGACAGCCAGCGACAGGGGGCGAAGAACTTGAAGGAAGGGAACCAGGCCTACTACGTGCCTCAGGCGGAAACTGGACAGGACGAGGAGGAAGAGGTTAGTTGTACAGTTCTCTTCATGTAGATGCGAGGCAGGGAGGATCGGAAATATTGAGGGAACTTGTTGCGGATGTAGGGGTAATGGAGAATTTTGAAAAATGTGTTGGTCGAGCTTGATCTTGATAGATCTGTCTAGGTTCACTTGTGTTTAGGTAGGTCTAACGTTAGCTAGGTATACATAGATCTATGTAAATGTAGTTACGTCTACAGCTTGGTCGAGCATGGTCTTGACATATCTGTCTAGATCCACCTATGTTTAGGTATGTCTAAGTCTAGTTAGATCTCTATAAATCTACCCAAACCTAGTTAGTTCTAGACAGATCTACCTAAGCATAGGTGGACCTAGACAAATCTACCCCTCTCACCCAATCCAAAATCCTGGAGCACCAAATCAATCCCATTCGAACTACCCCTCCTCCAGAGCCGCACAACTAACCCTTTCGTCCGTTCCAGGTGCAGCTGGTGTACGTGCCAGCGGAAACGTTGGTGCAACGAGGTCAGCCGAAGCGTGGCCGCGGAAGAAAGCAGCATCCCCATCGGCAGCAGCAGCAGCAGCAGCATGGACAACGACAGCATCACCAGCACCGCGAGAACCAAAACGTCGAGCAAGGGGCGATTTCTCGCGACCAGGACACGTTCACTCGACAGTTGCTGCAGCAGATACAGATGGAGCGCGAGGAGAAGACCCAGTTCCTGAAGGAGGAGCGGATGAAGGAGATCGCCAGGTTGAACGAGGAGCAAAGAGTGCTCGAGAGGAAGGCCCGCCTGCAGCAGGAGGCCGTTCAGAGGGAGCAGGAGCTGCAGAGGCAGCGCGAGGCTGAGAAGAAGAAGAAGGAGCTGGAGAAGCTCGAGGAGATGGCTAAGCAGCGAGAACTAGAGAGGATTCGCGAGGCCAGAGAGAAGCAACGGTTGGAGGAGCTCGAGCGAAGGAGACTGGCGGAGATTAGGGCGAAGGAGGAGAAAAGAAGGGCAGAGGAGGCCGCCAAGCAGAGAGAGGCTCAGAGGGAGGCCCAGAGGGAGGCCGAGAGGGCCGCTGCCTTGGAGAGACAGAAGGAACGGGAGATCCAGGAAGCGTTGAAGCAGCAGAGGATCTTGGAGAAGCAGCGAGAGGACGAAGCCAGGGCGGCCAGTCCCGTTAACCAACACCAGGACGTGCAGACCCAGGCTCTTCCGCTGATCAGGGACCAGCAGCCGGACTTCCATCGTCAACATCTCGAGTCGGCGAAACCTGCCAGGAGCAAGCTTCGCGGCAGACATCGTCAGAGGAACCAGTACCAGGAGCAACAGACCTATCGCGAGCCAACGACCACTCCGTCCCCTAATCAGCCGCCCCTCTCGGTCTACATGGGGAACTCCTACTCGAAGGCCACGTCAGCCAGAGTGTCGGACGTCCTGAAGATACTGAAGGACGCGAAGACGATCGCCGTCCTGGACACCGTCGGCCCGG